AGCGTGAATGTTGGCAAGCCGGACTTTTGGGAAGGATTTGTTCACTGTGACGGGGAAGGGAAGGATTACAACACCATACTCACCCTAGGAAAATGAGATGCTGAACACAAAAGTATCACAGATACTTTCAGACATGGCCTAAGCACCTTGGTACTTGAAACTATGACAATATGAGGTCAGAGACAGTCTTAGGAAATCTCTGGCCAAAGACCTGTCACTTCCTGTAAGCATTACAAAAACGTTGAATCCCACAAGTCTACTTAGATTGGAAGTGGTTTCCAGGAGCTCTTGAACTGAAAAACTGTGGGGTCATCTCCTTCATTGAGAAAGAAAGCCCTGATTTTCATTGTATGCCATTGTCAGAGGAAACAGGAGCTCTACCTGCCATTTGGCCAGTGAGAATACACCCCCATTCTACTGACACTACTCACATCTCTTTCTTGGGACCCTTCTCTGAGATGGACTTTTTAAGGAAAAAACAAAACAATAGGTAGAATTTTCAGAAGTAGGTGTCTCTCTATCCCATATATCTGAGAAAATTGGGTTAGCAATATGCTGGCATGGCCTCCCACTCACCCACCCACTAACACTACTACCACATAGAAGAGAGGTAAACTCTAGCAGTCTCACTCATTAGGATCTTACATTAAGTCTATCAACCAAGGGTAGGAGCTCAGAACTCATTGAAACTGATGGGAGATTCTGGGCCTCCTATGAGATTTTGCTCTTTGTTCTTGGATCTACAAATTTAAGATACAGAATCATAGACTTATGGACAGTGGAAGTCACCAACTCTCCTCCTGCCCACATACACACACCATCACCATATTACATATGACTTGGAGAGGTCGAATGACTTCCCCATGTTCATTTAGTAAGTTGGCAACCCAGCCAGACTAGAGTCCTCTGACTTTCTAATCTTCGTTCTTTTCCCCATGTTGAACATGCAAGTTATTGTGCCATGTGTACTCCTAGGATAGACATACTGCAACTGCCTGCTTGTTCTAAAATCCTTGTTCTGCTTCTACTGTTCTGTAGCCTCTGAATGACAAAGAACATCATTTCCCAGGCTCCCTTGCCCTCTAGGTTCTTGCTAGATTTGGCCATTGGGGAGTACTGGTGGAAGATTTGAGAGCAGCAGTTGATGAGAAACTGTATTTCTACTCTTTTCTCTGCTTCCTTGGGCATCTCCAGCAGTGAGTAAGTCTGGTCTGTGGTCCCAGAGGACAGACCCTTCCATGACTCTTGCTGCTACCAGATGACCCCTGCTACTATAACACCAGCTCCTTCCATCATCCATCCCACCCTAGAAGTCATAGATGCTTCCTGCTGTTGCCCACTTCTCTTTTTCCTCACCGTTCCCTGTTTGGCTTCTTGGCAGCTTTTTTATCATTTGTGTAACCAATTCCCTATATTAAGTCACCTCTGTTAGGAGCTCTGGTAGCATAGTGGCTAAGGCACTTGACTGCTAACCAGAAGGCTGGCGGTTCAAACCCACCAGCAACTCCTCGGAAGGAAGGTTGGGCAATCCTACTTCCGTAGTGATACTGCCTCGGAAACCCAAGGAGGGGTCGCTATGAGTCAGGGCTGACTCGGCACATAACAACAACAACAACAACTGTTAAGACTTAAGCTTAGGTCTTATTTCTTTATTGGACTCTGACTGGTAGAGTAGGATCATTACTCTCTGTGTTCTTGTACATTATTGGAACACAGTAAATGTACCATCTGTCAAAGAAGAAAACCTTTCTGGAGCCATGAAGTGTGAATGAACCCCTGAAATTATTGCCCTGAGATAATCTTTAAACCTTAAACTAAAAATATCTCTTAAAGTCTTCTTAAAACCAAACAATAGTTTAGCTCAACTAGTAAAACAGGTCAGACTTCGCATTGTGCTCTTTTAAGAACTATCTATATAGGATCAAACTGACAACAGCAACTCAAAAGATTAGATAAGAACATTTGGGGCCAATGAGTTTATGTTAATGAGAGAACAACTTGGAGGGTGAGTGGTTATACAACTTTAAGAAGAAAAATGTCACTAAATGGTAAACGTAGAAATGGTATGTTTTGCTGTGTATATTAACAGCAACAGCAAAATGAAATCTAGGGAAAATCTCGCAATACTAGGTGTGAAAGAAAAGGAGTTTTCTAAGGAATAATACAGCATAAGCTGGGCAGTGTTAAGTAAACATACAAAGCACTCCATCATTCAAGCTGTGAAAAAGACATCTATACATACACAGGGGGGAGGGAGGGAGGGAGCAAAGGAGGGGGAGAGAAAAGAGGAAAGGAAAGGTTAATGACTGTGGATAAAATCAACTTTAGCTTGAAGTCCTTTGGAATGTAAAGGTAGGAGTTAACACCAAGGTGAGTGGTACTAGGTGGTTCCTTTACCCATTATCCCTCTGTATCTGCATGAGATTGGTTCCTGAACCTCCCTCTTCCCCCATACCAAAATCCACTGAGGCTCAAGTCCCTTATATACTTTCGGGGTAGTTTTTGCACATAACGTACAGGTAACCTCCCGTATACCTTAAATCATCTCTAGATTACTTATAATACCTAATACAATGTAAACATATAAATAACACTTTGTGCTCCCTCTTAACCTTTGACCACTTAATTGCCCCACCCCACCCCAATGTTTTTGATGCTGTTGGTTGGTTCAATTCCCAGATGTGGAAGCCACAGATGCAGAGGGTCTGTGGTATGATTGTAGCCGATTATGCATGATTGTAGTCATGAGCACATTTTTTCTGGAAACAAATTGTTTACATCTTGACACATTCTTTTTTTTGTGTGTGTGATTTGGGTGAAAATTGACAGAGTAAATTCACTTTCCATACAGCAATTCACATATACTTTGTCTCATGACATTGACCACAATTCACCACAGTGCAACAGCTCCTCTCCCACTTCCTCCCAACAGTCACCGCTTCTCTGTGTCCATCCCTCCATGCACCCCTGCCCCCTGAGCTGTCTCCCTGTGCATAAACAGCCCTTCTTTCTCCCACGATTGTTCTCTCCAAGGAGTGTATTTACCTCAGGTAAATGTTCAACTCCTATGCCTGTCTTTTGCTTGGCTGGAAGCCACAGGTGTGGGTTCAATTCCAGACCTGAAGGGCAGCTAGGGGCCATAGTCTCAGTGGTTCCACCAGGCTCTATCAGA